TTCCTCACAACCTCGCTTTCTATCGACTCTAGGTGGTCTCGAGGTGAGCAAGGATAGCGGCATGATTTCTGGACAGCAGCACGGGAAGGCAGACACTTGGGGGAGCAGGAGAATTGCTCGCGGCCTCGCGCGCCATTCACTTCAGTGAAACCTAATTCATCCATGGGCTCGGTTAGAATGTTAACACAAAGGACAACCTATCGCTGATGCCTTTGGTAAAAAGTTATTGGGCACCGTGAAGTGAATGAAGCCCAAGAATCAGCATTACCATCGTGATCGCACAATAATCCGCCCAACGTTCCCTAGCAAGGGAGCACAATCAAGAATCATCGAGAAAAAAGTATTACCACTAGCACCACCATATATACAGTGAAGAGTTACCCGTTGGGGAAACATTCAAATGGGAAAGCCACCCAACGTCTTTATTCTAACTGGAAAAAGAAATACAGATTACTGTGGCTGATATATATAAGACAACCAGCTACTGATAATTTAATCATTTTTGCAACGAATAAAAGCCAGCTACCGATAATTCATCATCTTTGCAAAAAATGAAAGTAAATGAAGACCCGAAGATTACAACCTATTGTTGTCGCAAAGCGATCCATATTCAAACTTAAAAAAATATAAAGAACAGAAACTAAACTTGAGTGCAAGGTGCAATACACAGCATTGACTGGAGATTAGATTTCCTTTTCAACTATTCTCGATTGTCTGCAGTTTGTGTTAGCCAGCAGGGTGTGTACGGAAAAGATGATTGCAAGACCTGTTCATTTCCTAATTCTTTCTCATATCCTGCTGGATATAGATTGCCTAAGACTTCAACCTTGGAGCTATTCAAGTGATAGGCCAATCCTCGTGTTATTGATTCACTCAAGAAGATAATCTCTTTGCATGGATGAAACCCAAGAATCTCCACGTACCCACTGCAGGATCCACATTCATCATCAGAGCTCCATGTAAATTTCTCATCTTCAGACGCTTGTGAGGACCATCCAATTTTCTCTTCTGTTGGTGCTTCCATATCGTGATCTCTATTGCGACAATTATAATAGTAATTAATATCCTGCGAGGCCTAAGGTCCTTGGATTTTTCGACCATAATTCGCACATGGTCTTGAATACTCAAGCTTATGCTTCGAAAACCACTTAGAAATGTCCCTATCATGCTTCAGTACCCACTCCATCTGATAGCCAGATTCAATGAGGTTCCAAACTTGAACTCTGCATCCCTTGATTGATGCACAATAAATCCCCTTAGATGACTTACCTAGATAAAATTCAGGACCGCGCTTTACTTCAATACCTAGTGGTGGTTTAATCACGTGATACTTATCACTCGACAAGGATATTCTGTAATACGAAATCGTTGTTAAAAAATAAAAATCAAAGGACGAGAAAACAGCCTGTTAAAAAAAATTAGAACTGAATAAAATGACGAAGCTTAATGAGTTAGCATGTATAGTACTCCATACCTCATAACACACCCAGTTTTACAATGTACATACAGCGCTCCTCGCCAGTACACAGCATTGCGTTGGTCGTTTGGATGGTCCGACCTCATGCCAGACACTGTCCCTATGGAATCACCTTCTCGAGCAAAAGACCTTTCCTCCCACTGTCCAGTTCTCGACGAGAACACATTTAAGATGCATACCAACGGTGGCCACTCAGATTGTTCTATCTCAGGGTCAAGTGTATCCCTAGAACTCTCATAGAAACAATGTCTAGGCTTGTGCACAAAATGGAAACGGGTAACTGAAACCACCTCGTAGTATGGCGAGTCGGCCGGATCGTACGCGAGGTACTCGGATTGGAAGGTGCGCTTGATCTCCATGGGCGGGGGTGGGCACGGGGGCAAGCGAGCTAGCCATCGAGTGGCCGGATTAAGCACATAGCGACACCAGAGTTCAGAATTTCGGCGGATATTTGTCCAAATTCGCCGAAAATTGTTTCTATCGGCAGGGCCCGGTAAAGGCCCATACCAGTCGCTGTTGGGGTAGTTGTGCACCAACACAAGACCATTGCAGTGGTCGTCTACGTAGCCCCAGGAAAGGCATCCGGCCTCAGGCAGGTAGTCGTGCTTGCCGGAGATGGAGGGGCCGTCCGAGACGGGCTGGGGTGCGAATAACTCCGAGATGTAGTAGTTGTAGAAATTCATGAAGAACGCACCCAGCGTCAAGGGGAGGAGATCCGCCCGCAGCAGGCGGCGGGCGTCGACGACGGCGAGCCACGCCTTGCAGACGCACCTGGACGCGGCGAGGCCACGCGGCGGGAGGCGGCGGAGCACGTCCGCTAGCACGTCGTCGGGCAGCAGCGCCAGCGGGCCCGTCTTGTCCTCCGCCGTAGCCTCGCCCTGGTCCTGCCGATCCATTGCTTTCTTGGGAATTGGATCTTGATCTTGTTAATTTCTGTGGATCGTCGATCTAGGCGGATGACACTTAGATTCATAGTATAACATGCATATCTAAACCTAGAATACTACACCGAGAGAGATAGGGTAAAGATGCTGGTGTTGAATCTGAGCCCTCGGAGGAAGGAGCTTCTCGTCGCTGGCTGCACGTCCTCTTAGATCGGTCTAGGGTTTGTCGTGGGGCTTGCGGCTTACGGTGGACCTCGTACCTCGAGCCGCCGGCTCCCCACCTCTTTATATAGCGCAGTGCGATGGGGGCCCACCAACAATGTAGGGTTGGACGCCCCTGATCAGAGCGCGTGACCAAAAACTAATAGGCCGTTGGACTTATTGGTTGAGAGATCAATCTTAATGTATCTGTGACTCCGGGCTTTGGATCGGAGTTCATGTTGGGGCTTGGGGGTGTGGGGATTGACCGATGGAGCGATGGAGCCGGAAAAAGAGATTTATTGTGAGGAACGGATCGGAAGGGAGGTGGCGGCGTGCTTCTGGTAGGGTATAAAGAAGATTTATTCCAGGTATATATCGGCACAAGATCGCTCAGAGAAAACATGACGATCGGTCGATATTCATGGTTCACCAGAGTCTGTTTTCAAGGCCGTGTGCGTGTAGGTGTAGCGGTGGCGTTTTCTTCTCCTGATCGGCCACGCGCATGCATATTCCGGTTTGGGCCCAACGACTGGTCAATCGCAAAGCTTGGAACTGAATTCAGCCTCAGCTTTGAGCTTCAACACACAATGACATCATAAAGCGAAATTATGCAACATTAGGTGCGTCGCTAAGGTAAACATTCATTGATATGAAGTGAAATTATGTATATTACTATAGTATTCTTCAAAAAGATAGGAATTTAATTATGCAATAATATCCGGTCCAAACATGCCACGGCGCGGACACAGGCACTGCATGCAGGCACGGCTAGCCCGGTAGGCCCCTATGCATTAGGCACTGCATGCAGGCAGGCTTGTGTGGTTAGGCTGATGATTGGTTTCTTGTTTGTGGGTATTAGATTTAGCTACAACTTACCTTACCTGCGCACAGTCTGCATCTCCCTGGCCAGGTCCAAGACTTCCACCAACCAACCAAACATCTAAAACCAGTATCAAGCGACCCAGGCTGGCTAGTGGCCAGGATTCACCCAACCTATCAAGCCCTTGGTGGATGCTCGGCTGGTCATTCGCAACGCTACATGCTGTAGTCCCGCCCAGAGTTTTCACGCATCATAACTTCCAACAAGTTTGATATAGCTCTGCTTGGTGTAGTTTTTCTGACTTCAGCTAGTGCCGTACCTTTACTCGTAGAGCTGAACTTATTTTTTTTTACCATTTGACAAAAACAACTTCTCCTCATAGTCGAAAAGGATGAAATGCCCGTAAAACACTTTTAAACCTTTTTAATTTTTCTCTTTTCTTTTCTTACCTTATTTGGTCACTCACGGTCCAACCGCATCTCCTCTTCAACCTCCAGCCGTCGTGCGCCAATCCCACCATTGTGTCACGCCTGGGGCCGTGCCTGGGAGAGCGCTCGGCCACAGGCCAGTGGCAGCGCCGTACCTCCACGCTAGCTCCCTCCTCCTCGCCCACGCCAACCCCCTCCTCCATGCCGGCTATTTCCTTCACACCAATGCCATCGTCCTTGCCACGGTCAACGTCCGCTCTCTCGCTGTTGTGCCCCGCACGGCCTGGCCCACATGCACGGGGCAAAAGGTCCGGACCCATGCTATGTCAAAGGGAGTTGGGGGAGCTGCGTTTTTCAGCTCCATGCCGCACAGCTACCTTATGAGAGTGCAATTTCTAGAGCTTTAGGTGAGAAACAGTTTGCAAAAATTGTGTTTGGTAGAAAGGGCTCTCAACAGCTTTAAGAAGTTGCTCTAAAATCTATACCTGATAGGCTCTTCATCACGCATGAGGGTTGATCTGCATCTCGTTTGGACAACATTAATGATGTGCTACACCCGTGACCCCCGTCCCTGACGCCTGTGCACCAGCGGCGCACATGTCTTCCTCCTCTCTCTCCCTCCGTACCCATCTTCCTCCCCCCCCCGCCGTCTCGACCACTGCACGGGCCGCCGCCGACCTTTTCGGTGACCTCCCTGCCCAACACCCACCCTTGCTGGACCATCCCGCCCTTTCCTAATCCTAATCGAGGAATTTGTCGGCAACTCTTTGCCTCCGCCCCCGCAACCTGCACCGCCCATCCGGTTGTCTCCGACCGCCCGCTCGGCGGCGGAAATGCCGCTGCGCTCGCCGCCCATCAACCCGCCACCACCGCCAGGTCGGCCGTCGTCGTTGGGTCCTTCCCTTTCTAATATGGCCGCCGACCATGGAAGGCTAACCCTAACCGTCGCCTCCTCCTCCACCGCCCTGGCCCGCGGCGACCTCACCCTCGACCGTGCCACCGACTATCTGGCTCAATTGCTTTGCTGCTTCCAGTATGGTGTCACAGATCAAGATCCCAATTTCCAAGAGAGCAATGGATCTCCGGGATCAGGACGAGGCTACAACAGAGAATAAGACAAGCCTGCTGGCGCTACTGCCCGACGACGTGCTAGCGGACATACTCCGACGCCTCCCGCCGCGGGCCTCGCCATGTCCAGGTGCGTTTGCAAGTCTTGGCTCGCCATCGTCGACGCCCACCGCTTGCTGTGGGCGGATCTCCTTCCCTTGTTGTTCAGTGGGTTCTTCATGAACTTCCACGATTTCTACATCTCGGAGTTCTTCACGCCCCGCTCGGACGTCCCCTCCATCCCCGGCAAGCAGGACTACCTGCCTAAGGCCAGTTCCCTTTCCTGGGGCTACATAGACGGCCATTGCAATGGTCTTGTGCTGGTCGACAGCTACGACGACAACGGCGACAAGAATCGTTATGTGCTTAATCCGGCAACTCAATGGCTGGCGCCCTTGCCCCCATGCCCACCCTCGCCCATGGAGATCAAGGGTACCTTCAAAGTCGAGTACCTCGCATATAATCCGACCAAGTCGACAAACTTTGAGTTCGAGGTGGTCTCAGTTACCCATTTTGGTAGAATGTGCAAGCCTGGAGATACACATGACCATGAGATAGAACAGTGCGAGTGGCCACCATCGGTATGCATCTTAGATGTGTTCTCATCGACAACTGGACAGTGGGAGGAGAGGTCTTTTGCTTGAGAAGGTAATTCTTCCATGGGGATCGTGCCTGGCATGAGGCGGGACTGGCTAAGCGACCAACGCAATGCTGTGTACTGGCGAGGAGCACTGTATGTACATTGTCAAAATGATTGTGTTATGAGGTACGTACATACTGACTCATTAAGCTTGGTCATTTTTTTCCAACAGGTTGTTTTTCTCATCCTTTTGTTTTTATCTTTTTCTGACAATGATTTCATATTACAGAATATCTTTGTCGAGTGATAAGTATCACGTGATTAAACCACCACCGGGCATTGAAGTCGAAGACTATCCGGAAATTTATCTAGGGAAGTCATCTAAGGGAATTTATTGTGCATCAATCAAGGGAAGATGTAGAGTTCAAGTTTGGAACCTTGATGAATCAAATGCCGATGAAGTGGGTACTTGATCCATGATAGGGACCTTTCTAAGTGGTTGTTGAAGCATAAGCTTGAGTATCCAATACCATGCTATGGTGCAAAAATCCAAGAACATTGGGCCTTGCGGGATATTAATTACTATTATGATGGTTACAATAGTGATCATGATATGGAAGCACCAATGAAGACAAAATTGAATGGTCCCTTCAAGCTTCTGAAGATGAGAAATTTACATGGAGCTCTTATGATGAATATGGATGCTATGGTGGGTACATGGAGATTCTTGGGTTTCATCCATGGAAAGAAATTATCTTCTTGAGTGAATCAATTACACGAGGATTGGCCTATCACTTGAGTAGCTCCAAAGTTGAAGTCAGAGGCAATATATATCCGAGAGGATATGCGAATGAATTAGGAAATGAACAAATCTTAAAATCATCTTTTCCACACACACCTTGCTGGCTTACACAAACCGCAGACGAGAGGAGTTGAAAAGCTATTGAGAAAATCTCCATATGTTGTATTGCATCTTGTAGAGAGTTCAGGTTATATTCCTTATTTTCAAAATTTCGTACACAAATATGGGTGGCTTTGGGACAATAAGGTTGTATTAATCTTTGGATTTGCCTTTCCTTTTATTTGTTGCAATAGCGATTATAAATTCTTATTAGTAGTAGGTTTGTCTTATCAGCTACGGTAATCTTGTTTCCTGTTTGAATATTTGAATACTTCCCCTATGTGGTTCTTTGAAAATGACATGTGGCATGTCGTGGAAATATTCTCATGTGGTGGGCATATATCGATTTGAATACCTCCCCAACACAAAGAACAGTATTGAAATGTACTGATTGGGGGCGGAATCTAGTACACTTGGAGAAGCATACGCAAGGGGTACAATTATTAAAGGAAGGGGTGATTTGGCGAGTAGGAAATGGAAATTCTCTGGATATATGGTCGGACCCATGGATTCCTTTGGGAGTTACCGGTCGACACTGCTACCAAGAGGTCCATCACTCCTCATGAAGTTGCAAATTTAATAAACCCGGTAACTGGTACATGGGATGAAGAGTTGGTGAAGGACACCTTTTGCCAGAGGGATGCAAATATAATTTTATCGATGGCTGCAGATGAAAACGGTGAGGACTGACCAGCATGGCACTTCAATCCAAAAGGGGAATTTTCTGTAAAATCTGCATATGAGGTGTCTGTTAAGAAGAGAGAGCACGAAAGAGCAAGAGATGTGTTGGTTTCAAACATAGATGGCCAAGGGAAGGAAACTTTTGATTGGAAAAGAATCTGGAAGCTGCCACTCCCAAACAAAGTCAGGATGTTTATTATCTGGCGCTTGGCGCACAATAGATTGGCAGTACACAGGAATATTGCTAGAAGAGGGGTGAAAAGGGAAACAATTTGTCCAATGTGTCGGAGTATGGACGAAAATTGTGGGCACCTATTTTTTAAATGCTATGGCGCTAAGGAAGTGTGGCAAATGCTGAATTTGGAAGAAATCAGGAAGACTAGCAGAATGTAAATTGAGAAAGGAGACAATTCAGAAAAATTGGAAGATGGGTGAGGCTACACAACAGAAAGTGTGGGTTTTGCTTTGGAGATGGTGGTCAGCTAGGAACAAAGTGAATGCTCCGGAAAAAAGAAAGTCAGCTCAGGAAATTTGCTCACTCATAACCTTTTATGTGACTGAATTTGAGAAGTTGGAGAAGAAAGAGGGAGGAAATATCCCGAAAAAGCTACACAAATGGAAGCCCCCCCACCTGGCTGCTATAAGATTAATATTGATGCATCTTACTAAGCCACGAAAAAGGATCATGTGGATAGGGATTCGTTGCAAGAGATAACAATGGGCAATTCCTGAAAGGAGGATGTGGCAACTTGGAGCACGTCACAAGCCTTGCAAAGGGTGGCTGAATTGGGAATGACCAGAATTGTGCTTGAGACTGATGCGACAAATCTTGAGAAGGGGCTGAACTCTGATGATCTGGACTGGAATTCTGAGGGTGGTCTATTTCGCCAAATTAGAGACATCAAGAAACATTCTTTTGTTCAGTGTGTGGTCTAGAAATGTCCGCAATCATGCAACAAAGTGACTAATAGCCTTGATAATAACTTCCAACCCGTTTGATACAGCTCTGCTTCGGTGGTATAGTTTTTTCTAATTAACTTCAGCTAGTGAAGCAGCTTCACTCATGGAGCTGAAGCTATTTTGTGAACCGTTCGGTAAAAACAACTTCTCCTTGTAGTAAAAAAGGGTGAAATGCCCATAAAACACTTTTTCTTACCTTTTTTTTAATCTTTTCTTTCCTACCTTATTTTGTCACTACCGCCAACTGCATCTCCTTTTCAACCTCCGCCCGCCGTGTGCCAATCCCACCACCGTGTCACGCCTTGGGCCACACCAGGGAGAGCGCAAGACCATGGGCCGCCGGCGGCACCGCACCCACGCTGGCTCCCTCCTCCATGCCGCTTACTTCCTCCGCACTAGCGCCGCCGCCTCTAGCCACGGTCGATGTCTGCTCTCTCGTTGTTGTGCCCCGCACTGGCTCGGCCACCTGCGTGGGGGCATAAGGGTCAGGGTCCATGCTATGTCATAGAGAGTTGGGGGTGCGGCTTTTTTTAGCTCCATGCCACGCCACTACCCTGTGAGAGCGCAATTTATGGAGCTTCAGGTGAGAAGCAATTAGCAAAAATTGCATGTGGTAGAGAAGGGCTCTCAACGACTTTAGAAATTGCTCTAAAATCTATACTAGACAGGTTCTTCATCACCCATGAGGGTGTATATGCATATGGTTTGGACGACATTAATGTGGGGCGTGGATTCCGTGACTTTCCTAGGCCTTGTTTAGATCCCATCAAAGTTCCAAGTTTTTTCACTCTCTCTCCATCACATCAATTTTTAGCCGCTTGCATGGAGTATTAAATGTAAGTAAAAAAAATAATTAATTACACAGTTTAGTTGGAAATCACGAGATGAATCTTTTGAGCCTAGTTGGTTTACGATTAAACAATATTTACCAAATAAGACGAAAGTGGTACTATTCATCAGGTTGAAAAAAGTTTCAATCTAAACAAGGCCCTAGTTTCCTTCAGTAAGTTAGGTTGTGACTTTACTCTTGCCATCTACCTTCCAATGACGATCCAATGGTTCCATCAGTTTTTTTTCACGTATTAGACACAGGCTGGATTGCTCGCTGTGCCGGCTTCCCACACGCCGCGGTGCCATCCCGCGCGTAAGCCGCACACGCCGTCAACCATCTCGCACGCGCATCGCGCAGCACATGGCCGCCCCAGAGGACTCGCCACGCCGGCCTCTCGTGCACCGCGCTGCCGTCTTGCTCGCCTCGCCGGCTGTCTCGCTCGCTTGCTGCACGTGGCCGCCCCGGAGGAGGAGACGAGCTCGGGCTGCCATGGCAAGAGGAAGAAGTGTCGCCACCCCACCGGTGCCGTTTCTTCACTTTCCGCGGTGGCCGTGGCCCGTGGCCCATGGGCACCTCTGCCATGCCTAGCGCCAACTTGGGGTGCCGCACCTCCACTCCCCCATGTGCGGATCGGACTCAGAGAGCCGACCGGCGCGGGCAGCACCAGTTTCCGCCACCACAGGACATGGTGTGTCTAGGTGTGGTATTCCGTCGAACACCATGCAGCGACGCAAACGAAGCGGCCGGCGTCGGGGAGACGGGGAGCACGCGGCACAGACGCACTATGGTAGGGCGTGGCCGGTGGGCTCGACGGCATTGCAACATCGTAGCAAGGCATGGCCGGGGCGGCTGGTACGCAGCGGCGGCGCGCTGGCACAAGACTGCATACGAACAATACCTTTGCAGGTATGACAGATGGCCCTTGCCTAAGATGATCTGACAGCGCTCGAATCTGCTTTGGACGGATGAGATGAGAAAAAATGTTACCTCGTGACTTTAGAGAAGCTCAGTCCATGAATGAGCCCTGATCAGATATTCCGAGTTTCCGATCCACCCCCCACATTCATTCCACACAACAAAAGGTCCATTTAGAGATCTGACGAGGGAACGGGTGCTCCCAGTGCGGCGTCGCAGATCAACATCCCAAATCCCAAGAGAGCAATGGATCGCCGGGACCAGCAGGGCGAGGCTGTGACAGAGAATAACACAGGCCCGCTGGCGCCGCTGCCGGACGACGTGCTAGCCGACGTGCTCCGCCGCCTCCCGCCGCGGGGCCTCGCCGCGTCCAGGTGCGTGTGCAAGTCTTGGCTCGCAGTCGTCGACACTCGCCGCCTGCTGCGGGCGGATCTCCTCCCCATCTCGGTAGGTGGGTTCTTCATGAACTTCCACAACTACTACATCTCAGAGTTCTTCGCACCCCTCTCGGACGGTGCCTCCATCTCCGGTAAGCACAATTACCTGCCTGAGGCCGGATGCCTTTCCTGGGGCTACGTAGACGACCACTGCAATGGTCTTGTGCTGCTCCACGACTACACCGACAACGGCGGCAAGATTTGCTGCGTGCTTAATCCGGCCACCCGATGGCTGGCTCCCGTGCCCCCGTGCCCACTCCCTCCCACGGAGATCAAACACACCTTCCAAGTCAAGTACCTCGCGTACGATCCGACCGAGTCAACAGACTATGAGGTGGTCTCAGTTACCCGTTTTGGTTGGGTGAACAAGCCTGGAGGTTGTCTCTACGACACTTCTAGAGATGCAGTATACCCTGAGATAGAACAATCTGAGTGGCCACCGTCGGTATGCATCTTACATGTGTTCTCATCGAGAACTGGACAATGGGAGGAAAGGTCTTTTGCTCGACAAGGTGATTCCATGGGGACCGTGTCTGGCATGAGACACTGGCCAGGCGAACAACGCAATGCTGCGTCCTGGCGAGGAGTGTTGTATGTGCATTGTCAAACTGATTATGTTATGAGGTACATACTAATTCTTTAAGTATCATCATTTTATTTGGTTTTATTTTTTATATGGTTCTTTTCTCATCCTTTGGTTGTTATCTCTTTTTTACAACGATTTCATATTACAGAATATCTTTGTCAAGTGATAAGTATCACGTGATTAAACCACCACCTGGTATTGAAGTCGAACACTATCCACAATTTTATCTAGGGAAGTCAACTAAGGGAATTTATTGTGCATCAATCAAGGGAAGATGCAGACTTCAAGTTTGGATCCTTGATGAATCAGGTTGTCAGATGGAGTGGGTACTGATCCATGATAGGGACCTTTCTAAGTGGTTGTTGAAGCATAAGCTTGAGTATCCAAGACCATGTGCAAATTATGGTTCAAAAATCCAAGGACGTTGGGCCTTGCAGGATATTAATTACTA